TTGAATAAAGATAAGACTCTTAGAAAGTTTATCCCAATCCTACTGGGAGTCCAAGATTAGTAGTAATCCTAAGTCCATTGAAGTTAGGCTTCTATTGGGACTAGGTTTGTGTTGGCTATAAAAGAGAGGCACCCTCATAGGTCTAAGGTATGCTTTTTATGTTCCAAATAGTGAGTTAAGCTTTTTTGCTATCTTTAAGAGATAACTGACTTGATCGTCGGAGTGCCCCCGGGTGGACGAACCACCGCCAGAATCTCTTCTTTTTGTGACAGGTCATTCGGGCTTAATTTATTCTGCCAGTGTTCTCCAGCTAAATGCTTGATTAGCAGTGTGGTCGGGAATTGACACACATAATTTGGCGCCGTCTGTGGGAAAGAAAGGAAAATAGATGGCCAATGACGGACAGAAAGAGAAGGTTGGGGACGACACACGTTACTGAGAGTGGGAAACATATTGACCTTGACGTCGAAGAAGACCACTGCAACGAAGAGACTCGTGATAAGAATCACGGGGATAAAGACGTCGGCTAGGAGGGCGGCGTACCAAAGAAATCGGACCGGAGCGGGTATTATAACGAGGACAACCTCCAGGTATGAAAAGATAGATGCTTGTGGAGGGACGACGAGATGAAGGGAATGACGGACAAATTGGCAGACCTGCAAACAGTCGTCAATTTTATGATGCAGAATAACGTCATGCAGCCACCGTTCCCGCTACAAGATACGCCGATTCCAGGGGCCAAGAAAGATGCCTAGAAATGAGGGCAGAACACAGTTCCTGCAGTCCCTCAGCACGATAGGGCAAAGGGGCATTCTCACCGGCCTTCACGGGAGGTCGGGCATGGAGAATCAAGGATGGGAGAATCCCAGAAGACACGTCGAACCAAAGAAGACTGCACCAAAGAACATCGGGATGTTCAAGGGAAGGAACTCTATTTCGACACGACCAATGAAGGGAGGTCCAAAAGGACTCACAATGACACTGGAAGTAGTGCACCAAAGAGGGCATGAGAATGATGCTTGGGAGTTGGAATTTACAAGCTCTGGTTGGTATAACACTAGTTGAAATTTTAAAAATTTACAAGTTGAAGTTAAACCGAGGTCATATTTAACATTTGTTGAAATTTATGAAAAATTTACAAGTTGAAGTTAAACCGGGGTCATGATTAAAGGAAGGAATGATATAGGTTCCATCACCTCAGGATGCCGAGGTAATAGAACCTAGGGGGCAGTTGTGGGGACATAAATTTTGAATGACAACACGTGGCCGAGGTGTCACCGAAGTGCCAGCCGGGGTGCCACGTGTCCTGGTCTTGACGCTAAGATCATCTCGGCTAGGCCAAGATTATCTACGAAGATACCGGAATCCGGGACAAGCAGATAAGGGACAAGAGTCTTAGAATGGGAGATGACTTCAGTTTGGATAAAGATAAAACTCTTAGAGAGTTTATCCCAATCCTACTGGGAATCCAAGATTAACAGTAATCCTAAGTCCATTGAAGTTAGGCTTCTATTGGGACTAGGTTTGTGTTGGCTATAAAAGAGAGGCACCCTCATGGATCTAAGGTATACTTTTTATGTTCTGAATAGTGAGTTAAGCTCTTTTGCTATCTTTGAGATATAACTGACTTGATCGTCAGAGTGCCCCCGGGTGGACGAACCACCGCCGGAATCTCTTTTTTTTGTAATAGGTCATTCAGGCTTAATCTATTCTACCGGTGTTCTCCAGCTGAGTGCTTGATTGGCAGTGTGGTCGGAAATTGACACACACACATTCTTTACATTAGCAAAGACAACAGGGTGAATTTGAACCACCCAAAAAGCCTTGACTCGTGCAAGTTTGGAACCTCGTTACGAGGCTCAACGACTGGCTTGAAAAAACGTGAACTCGGGTTGACACCTCTAGCTTTGATCCGGTGCTTGGCCACCTACATATATACAATAAACTGTGAGCTAAAGCCCAGTGAATAACGAATGTGTAAAGGGGTTAAGAATGAATGTCCTTTCAGTAGTTAAAACAGTCAATTGTATCAGTAGATCAGTTATTCATTCAATGTCTCATATTTCATGTCATATCAGTCATTTAGAAATCATAGCAGTCATATGTGGTACATCTAATAGCAGAATAATACAGTAGGTCTTAATAGACTAAACAGTCAGTTGATGGCCATCAAAATAGTAAACAGTAGTAGTTCCAAATATTGGAACTGACAGAGATCTCTGTAACAGTAACAGTAACAGTCAGTTGCTATGGATGCCACAAGTACAGTTCATAAAATAGGACAAACATTCATTCGGTAAACAATGTCATTTTAGAAAATAGTATAGTCAATCGTTCAGAAAATAATTATAATTGAACATAGCTTTACAACATTGTTACTCATAGATAACAGGGCTGCAAGCAGGCTATTCAGCTTCCTTGAGGTGTGTAACCTACACAGTTACAGAACGAACGTATACTAAATTACACCCTCGGAATTGATAACTTAGTCCTTTCTACTTGTTTTGGTGTGGTTCTACTTCTTTATCCTCATTATGATGTCTTAATCATGGCCTAGGGATGCCTAGGATGGAAAGATGATGCAAAAATGTACTTGAAAATATTTTTCAAAACTTGCTGAAAACAGGGGTCTAGCTCGAGCGTAGCTTTCTTCGCTCGAGCGAACATACCAAATGTGAGTGGTTACTCGAGCGCATACTCCTTCGCTGGAGTGGTCTGCAAAATGTGAAAAAGTTCTAGTTGTGTGCAATCTTCGCTCGACGGTTGCTCGAACGTGAGACACAGGTCCTCACTCGAGTGCAAGTCTTGTCGCTCGAGCATGCTTCCAAACATGCAAACTTTTGAGAGCATGCAATTTACGCTCGAGCCAGCCTTTTGTCGCTCAAGCGGAAGTGTGAAAATAAAGTTGGTCACTCGAGCGTGGAAGCAAAATTCTGAGTTTTCCAGATTTGCTCCCAAAGTTCAAAACATGAGTTCAACACTCCAAAACTCATCCTTTTGGGCCAAAATTCTGGAAAACACTTGGAAACTCACAACACATCATGACTTAAAGATCATTACATAAAATCAAAGCCCAAGAGCATGCCAATTGTACACAAATTCAACTTAAACTTTATAAATGTTTCAAGAATATAACATGCATGAATTCTCTTGAACTCCACCTCTTCAAAACATGATCAAACTTGGAAAATTGATAGAAAACATGATGATTTCCTACAATTATGTCACGACCCAAACCCGGTACCCAAAGGTTCGGCGTCGCAACAAGATGACAATAAAGTGATTCTGAAATTTTCTGTAGTAGTAGCGCAACGGATAAATCAAGTAAATTAAAATAATATAATTGGGTACCAAAAGTTTATTAAAAGGAAACAACATAGTCATTTGGGCTTTATTGTATTACAAGAGTCCGATAAAAGAAATCTTTAAAAAAATAACACATCGATTCATTTTCCATCTTAATCCCGCTAAACCTCGTTACCTGAAAGGGGTAATAACTATAAGCACATAGCAGAGTGAGAAATATTATACTGTGAGTATAGGGGTACAAAATAGCTATGGATAGTTATTTAAGCTAAAACATTAACATAATTGAGTTGAATAACAAATTAATTAAGTGGCAGAAACTGAAATAAATAACTATAACCACGGAACAAAACAGAATAGAATGTGGGTCACTAGAGTGACAATCAAAACAGGGGTCAATGGATCCATGACAAAAAAGGGACCATAAAGTGGTCAAATAGGGACCAATGGTTATTTAAGTCACCCAAGGCATGAGACTCCCATGGTGGTACTTACAGAAAATAATTGTTTACAAGATCATTGCCAAATAATTTCTAAAATTTAAATAAACATATCCATGGGTTTTAATTTACACAAATAGAGTTCTGAAAATAATCAACGTAATTAAAACATTAACCTAACCATAAAACATAAATTATATAAAATGCATTGTGGTAACTCAAAACATTCATAAAATATATTATGGTAAGTCAAGACATGTAGAAAGCATATTATAGTAACTCAAGATATAATAAAACTCGCCTTAAATTAATTTCTTATTCTTTCTTTCCACCATTCAAGGGTTCCTCACCCGTGCTGTCTTCCCTCACTTTCTACTTTCTTTTTCTTTTCTGTTGCCCTTAACATAAGCCAATCCTCCCTATTTACAGGGAGGTAACCGTGGGTAATAAGTTACGGAAAGTTCCCGAGTGTTGACGCGTGTAAATCTTGGCAGATTCAATCTTATCTTTTTTTCTTATTTATTATTTAATAACCCTGTTGAGTTTATCTCTTAGAATTTACAAGGAGTCACTTTGGCCTTTTACTATTCTAAAGGTTATTACCTTCTTTGGTAATCCACGATAATTCCTAAAATTATATATGACTATAAGTTAGGTTCATAGCTAAAAATCTCACCACCAAACTATAAAACATCACTTACCACTTACTAAAATATTTAACGTGTGGTGTCTCACAACTTATTTCCTTAACAATTTAATCAATTAATTCATATTTTCCTAAACTATGCATTTATTTATTTGTTTATTACTATTATTATTATTATTATTATTATTATTATTATTATTATTATTATTATATATTTTTTTTTTGAGTTCTATTTATTGCAATTTTAAATTTAAAAAGAAAATTTGGGTGTCACAAATTAAGCTCAATCTATGACATGCATGAGAGAATTCTTAACAAACGTGCTCCAAATGTAATGAAATGAACATGCATGGATTAATCTTCCTTCCTACTTCTTAAGCTTAATTCTTACATTTCATAGCTCAATTCACTTGAATTCATAGATGAATCAACTTAATTTCAAGACTAGAGACTTGACTTTAGGGATGGCAATTTGAACCCGGCCCGACGGGGACCCGACCCCCCGACCCCAATCAGAATGGTTTTTCCCCGAAAAATACCCCCGTGGGGACGGGGATGGTATTTGAAATTAAATCCCCGAAGTATTTCGGGCCGGGGACGGGGATAACCTTCACAGCCCCAGACCCGGCCCGGCCCCGTCCCCGGCTCTGTCCCCGTATCTTCCCCGAAGTGATATTACTGTCATACCCTTTATATATCCATGTATAAACCAAACCCAAAAAAACAAACTCAATTCATCACTCACACAGACAGCTTCTCTCTCACTCACTGACTTTCTCTCTCTCTTTCTTTCTTCTCTACGCAAGCAGAGCAGATGGTAGTCTCTCACTCTCTTTCTTCTCTACGCACGCAGTTGGCGATGGCGTCGCCGCTCCTGCTCACCGTCTCCTCCTCCTCCTCCTCCGTCTCCTCTCACCGACCCCTCCTCCGTCGCTTCTTCCTCCTCTAGGGCACCGCTGAACCGTCGCCTCTCGCCTCCTCCTCCCTCCGCCATGGCAGATCTGCACAGATCCTCCCTCCACCACTCAGATTTGAGCAGATCCTCTCTCCACCACTCAGATCCTCCCTCTGGCCTCCTCCTCCCTCCGCCACCGTCTGTCTGTCTGTCTCTATTTTTATTTTTATTTTTATTTTTTTTAAATTTTTTGTTTTATGATGTTGTCGTTGATGATGTTCTTGATGAAAATGATGTTGTTGTTGATTCCATATACATATACAGATTATTATTATTATTATTTTGGTTGAACAGATCTATGTTTTAGTTGTGAACAAGTCTGTGTGTGTGTGTGTGTTTGTGAACAGGTCTGTCGGGGATTTATCGGGGTCGGGGAAACCCGATCCCCGTTAGGGGGCGGGGTGGGGGAGATGATGCCTTCCTCGTCGGGGATCGGGGACGGGGACTTTTTATTCTTCGGGGATCGGGGACGGGGAGGGTCATCCCCGGCCCCGCCCCGCCCCGTTGCCATTCCTACTTGACTTCTTACCTTAAATGTTCAATTGGGCCTTAGGTGCTAAATTCTTGAGCTAGATGATCAAATCTCCAAAGTTTCTTCTTTTCTCCTAGCAATTCCTCTTGTTTGAGTTCAATTCTCAAGTCTAGGACCCAAATCTTTCTACTCTCTTCCTCTCTCACGTTTGAGCATCAAATTAAGGAGAAAAGAGGTATAAAGTTGAACTAGTGGGGTCAATAAAATGGCTCACTAAGTGGTAGATAAACAAAGTTACTTAAATGGCATTAAATTAACCTAATTTAATTGCTCCAAACTGAATTTTAATTAAACCTACCATAAAATTCTATAAATCCTAATTAACATATAAATTAAGTCAATTTCTGAATCGGATGCCGATAAGACCTTCAATTCGCAAATCAAAACCAGAACGTGAATAGATCTTTCTACATCAAACAAATAAAAATACATTTAAAGCAACACACTCATATAATTAATTTAGGATTTCGTCTTAATCGTTTACTTAGCATGCTTAATCATGAATTAGCGTTAATCATGAGTCGGAGTTGTCACAATAACTTATCAAATTTGTTGCTAAAAATTTAAGGTGAAAATATAAATACAAATCCAATTTTTTATCTAGAAATAAAAATATGTTATCTTTGTCACTGAAGTGGGCTTTTTCAGTCTTTAAACAAATCACATCATCCTCATTATCTCTCTTATCTCTCTTTGTGAAAATATTACATTTTAATAGCAAAACTAAACCATGTTTTTTGTTAACAGAATCCAATTTAAACCCAATTTAAATTTGTTCACCAAAGAAAAAAACATTTTCCAAAAAAACATCTTCTAATTATATTTTAATGTCATCATTAAACATAAATATCTCTAATGATGTTTCGTCTCTTAATAACCAACCAACTTCATTTTATTTATTTATTTAAATTTTGAATTCAACTTTGTAAACTAAAATAAATTTCCACAAACATTTTTTAACATGACTATAATTAAACCTAGCAGCACCACCCAGCACACAAAGCAAATGCAAAAAAACAAAAAGGGACCAATTTCACATGTCCTTTTCCTCAAAATTCCTCTTCCCTATTTTTTATTTTTTATTTTTTTAATAACTACAAAAACCCATAAATCTAGGGCATACTCTTCACTTTTTAGAGCACAAAACACATAAACCCATAAATCTAGGGCATGTCTGGGTTATAGAAAAAATATATATATATAATATTTGGTTTCTCACGCCTCTTCATTTCTCTCTCTACCTCTCTCTCCCAACCCCTCAATTCCAAACTCTCCTCCTACAATTTCTTCCAAAACCACAGTACCTCTCATAAACAATAACCCAAGATTCAAAAACCATCACTGCTGATCAAAATCCGAAATCACCCTCTTCGTATAGTTACACCACCCTCATTGACAACAACCCTTTCTGAAACCACCTCATTGCCACCCCAGAACGCCTCTTCCATGCCGCCTCCAACACAACACCGTAGGGCCAAAACCTTATCCGTGGCTATTTACAACAACACTTCCACCAGCCATGACTTCAGCATGTATCGTACGACAATAGTTTGTTTGGATCCAGTGCTCCCCGTGCTGAAAATGCTACACTCAGACCGACCTGATCTTCGATTTGACGAAATTGACTCGCCGGGCTACAATAACCATTAGATTTGTCTTTACCAAGTATTGTACGGCGACAATTCGTTCACAGTGGGCAATTTCTTAACCAAAATGTTGACGTTTTGGAAGACTAGAGTCCCTAACATTGCTCTCAGATGCGGTCACGACAACGAAGGCTTGTTCGTCGATGTCGCCTAGTTGTTAGGTTTGGGCCGGGAGATGTGAGGCTGAGAGACAAAAGAGAAAGTGTTTAGTGAGGCTGGAAATTGAAAAGTGAGGCTGAGAGCATTAAGAGAGATAGAAGAGTTTAGAGAGAGAGAGAGAGAGAGAGAAGAGCATGAGTGAGTGAATATGTATTTTGAAATTTAAAATCTGGAAAGTGAGGCTGAGAGAAAGAGAGATAGGAGAGTGTAGAGAGAGAATGAGGTGAGAGGTGAGAGGTGAGAGGTGAGATAGAAAGAGGGAGCGTGGGTGGGTGCAAAGTTTTAGACGGTGATGTTAGATGCGAAGATGCTACTGTGCATAAAGTACATTGTGGCTTTTAAAAATATTCCTTGTGACAAAATGTTTCATTAATTTTCTTATTGGTTTCATTTATTTAAAGAAAAAACCTTTGACCAAAATATTATTGATTTTCATATTGGTTATTAAAAAGTATTATACTTACAACACATTTTGAGTATTTGTTCAAAATCAAATATGTTAGAAAATTTTAAATTTTTAATACATATTTAAAAATATATAAAAATTATATTAAAAATGTAAACATGTATATAAAAATATAAAAGTGTGAAGGAATATGTAAAATGTGTATTAAAATTTTAATTTTTAAACATTATTTAATTTTAACAATTTGTAGCCTAGTTTTTTTTTAAATACAACCAATAAGAAAATTAATAATAATTTGGTTAAAGTTTTTTGGGAAAATTATAAAAAAGAAACTCCAAGGATTTGACCTTTATAACAAAACCCTAATATTTTGATTTGTTTTCAATCTAAACTGTTTATCTATTTATATTAAGTAAAACTAACGAAAAATGATATTTTAGCCATTAAACTTAACAAAAATAAAATGACATTTTAAACATTTTATGTTCCTATATTAAGTTTAATGGCTAAAATACACTTTTTATATCGGTTTTATTTAATAAAAATAATCAAATAATTTAGATTAAAAAAAATAAGGGTTTAAATTAAAAAAGTTAAAACCACAAGATTTATTTTATTACCATGGTTAAACTGTGAGACTTTTTTTTGTTGTGATTTGTCCAATTTTTTTTTTTTTTTTTAAAACTACAGCCAAACTTTGTTCTAAGAGATACTTTTCAAAGTTCAATACCATTTTATACACACACACACACACACAAATTAAAATTAAAAACAAACAAAAGACTTATTTCCGAAAAAGACAATTGCATTGGAGAAAGTAGTGCACTATACTTGAAATTTAAGAAAAAAACTAAAAAAAAGAGATTGAGTGGGTGGGTGAATAGGTGAAAAGACTCAAAAAATGAGAGAAACAGAGAGATATATATTTTGAGGGGAAAGACAAAAGTAAATAAATCATCTTGACTCTTAAATTGTTAGATGAAATAATATGAACCGTTAGATACATTTTGAGACATTTTCAAAAACCGTCTTACCATATTATATAGATTTATTTGTTTATTATTTTTGTCTCAAATTTTTTAATCCCAAACTAAAAAAGTCATAACTTCAAAAAGTTAACTTTTTTTTTTTTTTTGTCAAATAACAACTTTGGAAAGTAAATTAAAAACTACTTTCCAATTTTTAACTCACTTCTCTCTAAAAAAATAAAAATAATAATAAAAAATTAAAAATATTAAAAAATTAACTTTTAATCAATTTTTCAAAACACTCTTTTAACTTGCGTTTGGTTTAGTTATGGTTTCGTACACAAGCAAGAAAAGGTGTTTTGAATTGAGGCTCTAATTCTCTACGGGCCCTCTTAACCGAAATATTTGACCTCTTTATTTTCAACTACTTTTACCCTTATTTATTTATTTATTTTTGGGTAGATATCTGTTTTTTTCTTAAATCAAATTTCTGGTTGTTGTCAACTTGGCAATAATTTGATTGCTGCCACTTTGCTTTTAATTTTAAACAAACTATCACAACAACCAGTAGCGAGCCAAGAAATTAAGGTAGAGACTGTACGGGGAAGAAATAATTCTCCTTGTATAATCCTGTTGACTAAGTCCACGCTCCTCCGTACGATGTCGCTTTATCACCTGAAAACACAAACGTGAGCTAGCCGGCGAGTTTGTGCCGGAAACCTCTCCGATGCCTAAGTCAGAAAACTTGACAAATAGACAAAGCTCTATGTATTCAGAAAGCAAAGTTGAATGTTGTGCTATCTTACCCCCTCCAAGGTGATGCTTTTGAGCTTTTATAGGTTTTGAGTGGCACAATCCTAGTTGGACTTTTACTCCTCCATGTAGAGTCCTTCTAGGATTCATACTCTTGTAGGATAATGCTTATCCTTTTACACCCCCCCACTGCTTAAACCAAGTGGGATGGCTTTCACTATGGCCGAACTACCATACGACCGAGATAAACCTGGCTATGCTGAGCCACAGCGTAGGCCGAACTATCCTTAGTTCGGCCCTTCCTGTTACTACTCCTTATGTTGGTTCTCACCTGTTCAACCCATGGTGCGTTTGGACCGAACCAACGATTCTCGACCGATATAACTCCAAGACCGGTATACCTCCAAGGCCGGTATAACTTCAAGACCGGTCTAACTTCAAGTTGCTCCCGGACCGAAGTAGATTTACAATTCACGAGCCATAGTAACTTCATCACTTTTGGCCGGAGTAACTTTCAACTCTCTTAGGCCTAAATAACTTTTCGGCCCTTTTTACCCTGTCCTTCGTACTCTGGG